AATTTCATTTGATAAACACGTTTAGATTGAATGGTAATTTATAATCAGTCACAAGAACGTCGAATCTGAATCACTTGAAAAAACACGGAGATGCTTAACTTTTTTCCAGGTGTATAGATGCATTTTTACAGTTTGGACACATGGATGTACTACTTAACCTCAAGCTGTTACAAGTACAGTATTATCAGAATACCGCAGAAAACAATGGAGTAAACATTGCACTTTAACAGAATCTCTTATCCTTCCCTAGTTACTGAATATTTGGGAGTATGATAAGTTAGATTTCAAAAAGCACTGAAATAATCAGTGAAGTAATAGAGCAGATTAAATTGGGGAACAAATTATAAAACGTTTGAACTCATATTCAGCTTTATAATAGAAAATTCAGTCAACCTCACTGTTTCTGAGTACATTCTGTAACATGTATCTCGAATGTAAGCCTTTTTTTTTTACCATGTTTATCTTTTAAGCTATTTCTGAAATGTTGGTTTTTGTGCTTATATATCAAGGAAACAAAATTGTATTGACCTCACACCACCTACAGAAGTCTTATAGGGAAGCCTGATAATCCATAAAACTTTGTGAAATATACAGAACAGAATTTCTGTTTTCAAACAGTTTAGTATTTGGTTTTTACTGCAGACTTAGTATTTTCACATTCACAAATAATCATTGGTTAGTCTTAATCAACCACATTTTCTGAACTGTACAATAAGCCATACAACCAGTGGTGTCAGATAAGTATTTTAAATGATAATATCATGGAGTTAGCTAATAATAACAAGGTAAATATACAACACAAGTAGAGATTATTTTATCTAGAAAGAACGAGTTTTGAGAAATCATGGAAAAAAATGGTTTTTAAAAGTATCAACTTTTTTTTAGTGGTATTTCTGATTGTCTAATGAAAAATATTTCTTGAAAACAGTTGCATCTCATGAAAGTCCATAAGCTGCATATAAAATTTTTATTTATAAGATTAACATTGAAACTGGCTGCTTTGTCTTAATATAACAGAGCAGTAATTGTTTTTGTTTTCGTTTAAAGCTCAAGCAACAATTTATCACTTAACTAACAGAAAATTGCAGAATTTCATGACATCAGACCGAGTTCCATAATTTAATGCAAGGATCAGCAACCCCAATAAGAAGAAGAGCTATTTTTTTTCAAATTTGGTAAAAATGAAAGATACTGAAAGCTGCAATGAATGTAACTTCTATTTCAATAATTGAACAGCAAGGTTGCCAATCCCTGGTTTAGTGACATCAGACTGGGTTTGTACCACTCCATTACTAAGGAGTTCTATAGTTTAGTGACATCAGATTGGGTGTTTGTATCATTTCATTACTAAGGAGAACTATAGTTTAGTGACATCAGACTGGGCTTGTACCACTCCATTACTAAGGAGATCCATAGTTTAGTGACATCATACCTGGCTTGTACCACTCAATTACTAAGGAGATCTATAGTTTAGTGACATCAGATTGGGTTTGTACCATTTCATTACTAAGGAGATCCATAGTTTAGTGACGTCGTAGCTGGCTTGTACCACACAATTATTAAGTAGTTCCATAGTATAGTGACATCAGACTGGACTTGTACCACTCCATTACTAAGGAGATCCCTGGTTTAGTGACATCATACCTGGCTTGTACCACACCATTATTAAGGAGATCCATAGTTTAGTGACATCAGACTGGGCTTGTACCACACCATTATTAAGGAGATCCATAGTTTAGTGACATCAGACTGGGCTTGTACCACACCATTATTAAGGCGATCTGGAGTTTAGTGACATCAGACTGGGCTTGTACCACACCATTATTAAGGAGATCTATAGTGACATCAGACTGGGCTTGTACCACACCATTATTAAGGAGATCTATAGTGACATCAGACTGGGCTTATAACACTCCATTATTAAGGAGATCCGTAGTTTAGTGACATCAGACTGGGCTTGTACCGATGCATTACTAAAGATCTTTGTAGTTTATTGAAAGAACTGATTACTATAAATATTCTAATTTCAAAATGTCATAGCAGTGTGAGAACAAACAGAACATTCCCTGCATTGTTACAATAAATAGAGATGTCTCATTAACAGTTTTATGGTATTTTCTGTGGTGATGTGTTACATAAATTAATAGTGCTAATCATATGAAGGACAGGTTACTAGTGGTGACTTTTCAGGTGAGTTATGAATTATCCTGCACAGACTAATAACGATCATCTTAATTTTTTATAGAAACCAGTATCATTTAAATTAACAGTTTTAAAATGTTTTGATGTATTGGAGTATGCATGTTCTGAGAAGAAAATGAGTGTTTTATTGACACAGAATATCATTGTAGCTGTTCAATACGATCGTCACTTACCTAAGTTAGTTACTTTCACTTGTCTATGGATAATATTTATATTACAACTACTGAGATCTGTTTTATTTAAATGTTATCTCCTAATTTTTAATCTTCAGGGTTTACATAAACAACTACTTAGTGTTTTTAGGGAAAGTGTTAAATCTCATTAAGTTGTTTAAAGTTTTACATTATTTGGAGAATTATTGTGCCTTCTAATAATAAGGGAAAGTAAAAACAAAAAATTTATTGTGGTTTTGGTAAATAGCTTTTTAGACAACAGAAGGGTAATGTGAGGTTTTATATCACAAAAAACAATTTGAGATTGTTAAAAGAAAAATACTGTGGTACTCATAAATGGGTGAAACCATCTATGCTTGTTAAACACTGCATAATTTAGTGCTCTTTCTCCATTTTTATGTTTCCAAAATAGTAATGTACATGTGACTATCTACAGAAATATAAAGGATTAGTTTTGTAGACAGATTAGATAAGTACAGTAGTGTATAGTTTCACATCTTTGTGAGCAAGATATTTTATAAAATACAAAACAAACACAGGTACATTCATAACCAAAATAACTCGATTGAGATAGATTTTCTTTCATATTTTAATACTTTATCACAAAAGCATTTCAATGTGTAACAAAAGACAAAAAGTCTATTTTGATGTAGTCCACAACATTAAGAATCTTAAATCTTTCCAAATGGATAGTATGCACCCATTTTTAACATTTACTACGTTGTGACCTTTGTGTAACAAATTGTTATTGTTTTTGCTTATAAAAACTCTCCCCTACCTCAAACTATGTAAATCAATTCATACAACCAAATGTGTTGTTGAAAGTGGTAAAATACTTATTACAATACAAATGTCTTCAAATATTTATTTCTGTAGATTCAGTAGTTAATTTGTTTCTATTATACATATGTCACATTTCAGTCTGGAAAATTAACAGGTGGCACTAGTGGTTAAAGCTCAGGATTTATAAAACACTTTTTACAGCAAGAAATGTAAAATTAAATGATCAATTATAACCAACTATCCTTACTAGACAAATTAATTGGAATAGTTACATATAAGCATCTTTCGATGTTATAATGCAGGTAATAAATAAACCCTTTTAAAATTATCAAGAAAGTAAATATCATCCCAAAATATAAATGGGCCATCTAAAATATTACCGATTTTTAAAATGTAAGTACAGGGCAACAGGTACAGCGTGTGCTATTAGACAGATGAACATTACACATGTTCAGTACGTACGCAAGCCAACAGAAGATACAGTTGCTAAGAGCAGAAAGGTATGTTTTTATACTGAAGCTGATTGATAAGAAAAAAAAAAATTAGCTTAAATTCTATATAGTTTCTCGTGAAACAAGCAATATTTCATACTGATGTCATTGTAAAGGAAAGAATAAGTCAAGGCGGAAACTGTCATGTCTCTAACACTATCAATAGATGTTTTGAAAACACGTTCTCTTCTTCATCCACTGGAAATTTTAAAACATTATTTTTAAAAATAGTATTAAATTAAATTTTCATGCAACTCAGCATTACTTTTAAAAAAAATGGAATGTGGCCAATAGTTAGACCTGACACTTCTTATTAAATATATATACAGGTATGTTATACACTTATGAAAAGTTTACAAGTGGATATTTTCATTTGCATTTCCTTTTACACTTTTGGATAATTAATGTGCCTAATTCACAAAATTCATTGATGTAAGAGAGTTATGTAATCTTGCATGACATACAAGCTTTTTACAAATGTTAATTTTATTTACTGCTAGTATGCAGCACACCATTTTGTTTTTACCATTAGCACATGCAAGTTGTCCACAAAAAATGCTGATAACTCTTAAATCTACAGTATTGAATACCGTATCTTACAGCATGACTTTATTATAATACACTACTAAAAGCTGCCAACCCCCTGTACAAAGATTTGTAAGTAACATAACTGTACCAGGAGTAAGTACACTGTAATTTATCACTTTAAAAGAATATTTATAATAATTTATCTATCATTGTATTACTCTCTTTTAAGGTATTTATTAACATCAAAGAACCTTTTTTAATACTGGATTCTAATTACAGCTGACATTAACAAAAATCGAAGATTCTTCAATCATTTTTCTTTGCTGTGAAACATCACATCACACAAGAAAACAACTATAAAAACATCAGCCAAGATGAAAGTTAAAAATGTCATTACAACTGCTATTAAACATAATAATTTTAATACCTAATTATTAAATGGTACAAAACTGGGTTTCCAGCAAAACAAATGCATTAACATTAGTTTTAAAAATACCTTATTTATTGCATGCAGCTTAGAGCAAAGTCTTTAACTATTATGAGAGCTCGTTAGATCAGCTATCTACAGTTTTTAAACCATTTGATAATGCATGTGCAGGAAGTGAACTGGATGAAACATTACAAGAAGATTAGCTAGTCTGATGAGAGCAAGAGGATACAAACCATCACTAATGCACTATTCTCACTGGAAACCCGTACCGATCAGTGAAGTATTAGGTAGTAGTAATGTGGTAATGCAACATTTTATCGGAGATTCGGCACAACTTACAGAATATTGCACAGATGACTTATTGTTTCAGCCAAAAAAGGATGATTCTTTTAAATAATATTTTGATACTAAGTGTTTCAGTATTTTACTTGACATGAGTTGTTAGTATTGAAAACCTAAAACGTTATTATAAGACTTTCAGTACAAAAAGCAATTTGGTAATGTTTTTATACATGGTGAAATATGATACTGATAATGGAAATCATTCAAAATTATGTTTACCCTGTAATTACCATATAAAGTATTCATTCTAACATTTTGCTAAAAAGAAATGATCCATTTTAACTAAGAGTTGAACTGGTAATAATAATAAAAGATCCATATTTTTAGTGTAGTAATTTCCTGAAGTTACTTTTAGAAACATTCTTGTTTCTGTAAAAGATAGCAAATGTTGATTTCCATTAAATCAATCTCATCAGTTTAATTACAGCAAACATTAGCACTGCCAACAGAAAACTAATTTTCATTTGCAAATCTAAATAACTAAACTATACTAAATACTACTGTAAACAGAAGTTGTTTGTATGTAATTCGATTCACTGCATGTATTAGTAACATCTCAGACCAGTGTGCATAAATATTTCTCTTTACTACAAGCTACAGATCTTCCAAATTCTTGAAATAACTAAAACACAGACTTTCATAAGGTGAAAACTAAAACTGGAATTATTTTGCTTGATTGTGACTTTTTACTCAACAAATATAAAAAGGTATATTTTTTTAAACCAAACCTGGCCAATTAGAAAATTCAATTTAATAAGCTTGTAAAAGGCAAAAAGTTCTTAAGAGCAAACCAAACAAAAATTATAGTTATTCTAATTTCACCAACTCCTGTTGTGAAACTACCCTTGGCAACAAATATACCAAAATATTTGAACAGCAAAAGATATCTTCAATCCCATGGCCAAAGATGCAGTGCAAATCAACAGCTGAAAATGCAGCAAACTTAAAAGTGAAATGTATTTACCACAAAATCTGCTTACATGACATATTTTCATATTCAGTGGGTTAGTTATCTGTACTGTACAATTTTCACTTAATTCTTATCACCTGAAAGATTTTTTCAAATCCAGTTTTCATTCCTTGTAACCCCCTTATCTTTCACGCGTCTCTTGAGCTAAATCTATGGTACTGTTTTCCCTGATGTTATGGGGACTGTCTTCTTCACTGACTGAGGTACTTTCTGTTCTATCATCAGGAGTACTTGTGGTTGATTCTACTGTGATGATGCTATGACAGAGAGGGCAGTTATCCTGGATGTAGAGCCACTTTCTCAAGCAAGTTCTATGGAAAAAGTGATGACACTTTGTGATGCAAGCACACGTCATATCCGAGAAACAGATGGCACACACATCATTCAATGTTGCTAGCTGCTCTTCTGATGCTGTCTGCATAGCCTCTGTTTTTTTCACTGCTTCTCGTCTTAACAAAAAGCTCTTCCAACCTGCCTGCATTCTCAACCATACATTGAAGTAACAATGAATTAGCAGAATAGTGGAGCCAGCAACATTCCACTTACCAATCAAAGATTCCCAGAACCCCACTCCAACAACAAACACTGCTACAAAGAACTCCATAACCTTGGTGACAGCTCGAGTGTAATAAACGACATCATCTAAACTTTCCCAGGGCTCCGTGCTGGACGAATCATAAAGAAACAAAGAGTGAACAACTAGGAGGTCCAACACCTGAACTGATGTCAGAACACAGCTGGACACTACGACCAACATCCAGAAGTCAATAGGAAAAACTTGCATTAAAGCATACGTTAGGTACAAAGGGAAGATAAACAAAAAACAACACATACATAAAGCCCGGAGGTGTCGACCAATACTTGAACTACGCGATGCACTCAGTGCCAAAACTACTGGCTCTGTGATTTCTAGAACCGACTGCAGTAATGAGGATAAGACAATAAAAAGAATAATAGTCATAGCTGCTAACCTTGCAGGCATCTTCATCTCGGTAAGACCAACCTGAAGAGCTAAGAACACCATAGTCAAACCTTCTGTCCACCCACTGTGCATTGGATTGTCATTTAAAAATTGTATGTTACCATGCAGAAAGGCTTTAGTACTGCACAATACAAAATAAGCCAAGTAAGAAATAGTTACTGATGTTGATACCAAAGTTACCGGGCTTGCACATAATGAACTTGCTGCAGTCAAAACAACAATGTACCAGTGATCACTCCACACATGTGCTCTTTCAGGCTGGGAAAGGATTTCACACAGTTTCACTACAAACTTAATTAACCAAAACAATAGGAAATGATTAGGAACAAAGAGCTTGTTCCATATAATACTCAACAAACCCATTAAGCCATGGACTTCAACAATGTGCATGGCATCTGAATAGGCAATCTTTAAGTAGTCCAATAATGCTGGAAGCTGATGGTAGGCATACATACACACACTGATAGCTATGGCAGCACTTCCAAAGTTATGAAGTAGTTCTAGAGCTTCGACGGGAAAGTTGGCCAGACGAGCAGCAACAGGCAATGCATAAGACACTAGGATTGGAAACACGGGTTTGGCTGGCCCACTAAGTAATAAAGATGCTGTAGCACCAACAAGTATGTGGGCCACCAAAGCTGCCATCTGCCGGGTGATGAAGTGTTCATCTCCTTCAGAATTCTGTTCCTCAGCATGAATGTAGTGTCGAGACAACAGGTGAGCACTGAGTAACAAAGCACCACTGACAAAATGAGTGTAGAGAATTCGGACACGAGGCAATGGAAGAAGCAGCAGTAGAAGTCCATGAATCAAAACTGTGTGGAAGAGAAAATAAAGACATCTATTCTAGACATAGTGTTTCTACTATTACAGTATTTTCCTTGCAAGAAAAACAATATTTGTGTGTGTGTGTGTGTGTGTGTGTGTGTGTGTGTGTGTGTGTGTATATATATATATATATATATATATA